ATATATATATATATATATATATATATATGAAAACATTTTGGGGATATTTAGAGTAATCATATATAGAACTGTTCCGAGGTTATCCGTATACTTGGATGAGTATCGCTGCGGGACTGAGTGAGTAGCGGTGGTATATCGAGTCTAGTTCGTGCCTTCTTCGTCCCCGAGGCCCCTTGGTACAGTTGGTATGACGTTTGCGTTTTATCGAAATGGTCCGGTTTCGATTCTCGGTATTGGATGCGCACTGCTGATGAGTCACAAATAGGACAAAACGGCCATCCAGTACTTTCTGCATTCTGTTGAAGATTAATCTGGGTTCGATGAATTGCTATATATTTATATATATATGCATGTTTCATTAAAAACGACAGACAATGTACTACGGTGAAGCTTTTTATTTAATTTTTCTTGTGTTCTAACAAGAGCTTTCTTTTCTGGACAAAGTGTAAAAACTGTCCAAATGTTTTATTGTTCCGAGCACTTTCGACTATAACTTTAGCCATTATCAAGGATGATTCGATTTTTCAGCTTCATTGAGTGTGTGCGTTCTGTGTATGTCTTAGTATGTGGTAGGGATGTTTTTAATTTCCGAATACGGTTATCACATTGTGGCTTTGTTCGTAGTTAATATTGTTAAGAGTTGGCTTTTTCTTTTTTATTATTAGAGCTTCCATTATTTTTAGTCTTTTTTTGCAGGTGGATGCAGTTAATATATTTGTGTTTTCTACTAGTATGTTTCTAATGGAGTCGGGTAAATTTGTGTGTGTGCAGATATGTAGAAAAATAGGAAAGAACACGTTAGGTAAATAATCCGGAGTTCTTTAGTATTTTTGTTTTTATTTTTTTTAAAAACAGTGCTCCTTACAGAAGTAGAGCTTAAATTATAATTATTTTTTAAAAAATATGATTCCTTCGCTACATATGAGTTCTCATGTTTCAAAAACGAGAGCCGAAAACCTCAGTATAATTATTAAAATTAAATTGAGTTAAAGTATCAAGCCCTGTTTCATCTTCAAGCGAAAATTTAGGAATAACCAATTTTGAAATTTACGCATCTTTATAAGAATGTTCATTCGCAAAATTAATTACTATGGAAAGGGCTGGGGCGACCATTTTGGTAAGTCCTCATGACTTTAAAAAAACAAAGTGTTTCTTAACCAGAATCTTTCCACCATATTTAAAAATTTCGAGGGGAATAGCATCTTTTCGAGGGTATTTGCTCGAGGAAAATTGCTTGATAGAATCCTGGATTTTCTTTAGACGTGGCTCAAGAGACAACTGGAGAATTTATGACCCATATGAAGGTCAAACGTTCGGTATGCACTTCGAGTGGATTTATTTGAAAATCCCGTCTAGAGTTGTTGTCTCATACGAAACATAAGCATGAAAACTGAACTGAAAGACACTCATACGTCAAAAACGACGTGAGTCCATCATTATATATATATAGTTAAAACTAGAGATCCAGACAAACCTACCAAGGTTCCACCTAAGCCAAGGATGGCCAACCTGTGGCGCATGCGCGATAAGTGGCGCATTGGATGCTTACAAATGCCTCACTGCATCGTTTTGATGAAAAGAAACTAAGCCACTTCTACTCATTCATTTCAGTGATTTTATATTTATTTCACATCCTTTACGAAAGTACTAAAAGCTTGATTTGTGTTTGTCCCATTTCTTTTTGTTAAAAATGCTGACAGTCCTTTTGGTTGACTGAGTGCTTAACTAACTAGTAGACTGGATTGTGTTCTAAAATGTTTGTCATTCTTTATCGCTGCATTGGAGAGGACGTTTGTGTTTGGATTTTGTTAAATTAAGGTAAGAATAATTTCATGATTTACATTTCAAAACTCCTGGATACGCCCCTGGTCATAAGCATATATTTTTCAAATAAATAGATTTTACTATAACTTTAAAATATGTCCATATTGCAACACGTACTGAAAGGAAGTGAATGTTTGTGTGGCGCATTTAAATTAATCGTACAAAATATTGGCGCATGGAATCAAAAGGTTGGCCACCCCTAAGCGGATCGTCAGGGAATGCTGGCCAGTCTTCCCTGACGATCCGCTTAGGTGAAACCTTGGTAGGTTTGTCTGGTTCTCTAGGTTTAACCAGGTCTACTCTACTCATTGAGCACTTTATTTATTTGTTTTAGTTACCAGCATCGGGTTTTTTTCTTGGGCCTTGGACTCGTATGCTGGACGATTATTTTCGGTTAACGTACATGTTCTTGGTTCTTTCTTTTTCTTATACTTTTTTTCCCTTTGGTGTTGACTTGTTTATTTGCAAATCAATACACCGAAGGTTTTCCGAGCGAGTATAGTTTCTTATACTTGTAAGATTTGAAGATTTTCTTCATACTGTCGGATCTATATCCATATATTTGCTTACTTATAAGATTTCTATTAATAATAATAATGATAATATATATATATATATATATATATATATATCAAATATGTGGTGCAATTCAATTTATATTACATCAATCATTCATAAAAAAAGTAGATTAGTGAAGTTAATGATATAAAATGGCGAAAACTCTTCGCAAACAAAATTTTAAAGTTACATTAACCTACGAACCACTCAATGAATGTTATGATCCTTGTTTTTAATAACTACAAGCTGTATAAGGTCGTTTTTTTAAATCTGCTAGTACTTTCAACTTTACATACAGTCATCTTCAGGCAAGGAAATTATTTTGTTTTTAGTAAATCCAGGTAGCATCAGAGACGAAAGATTAAATGCGAATCGAAATATATATTTTTTTATTTTTTTTTTTTTTAGAAATGTGTTATTTTCAACGGATACAAACTTTTGGAGCGTGAAGTTGCAACGCCAAGGTTGAACTTTTTTACGTATATTAATTGCTGGCATTAAAAGTTGGCGTTATTCTTTGTTATTATATTCGTAAATATTTATTTTCTTTGTAAATAAAAAAAATATTATTATGAAAGATATTAACCAACGAAATCCAGTTTCATATGTTTGTTTTATTAAAATACTAAACATAGACTTATAAATATTTGTCTATATTTCTGAGATGAGGTATTCTAACTATTGATACTATTTACGTCGTTCGGACTGTTGTCCTCATCTTTATTGTCATATTAACAACGTTTCGGCCTTTATACGCTCTGACCTGCTTCAGGATCTGTCTACATTTCTAAGATGAGATATTGTAACTATTTACATTATACAGACTGTTGTCTTCATCCTTACTGCCACATTCAAGATGTTTCGGCTTTTGCACACATGGCCTTTTTCAGGATATGTCTATATATTTGCCAAGACGTTTCGGACGTTGTACGGTCTGGCATTCTTCATGATCTGTCTGTATTAATGACATGAGGTGTTGTAACTGTTTACCCTATTTACATCGTTGGGACTGTTGTCTTCATCCTTGATGCCATATTCAAAACGTTTCGGCTGTTGTACGCTCCGGCCTTCATCAGGATCTGCATATATTCATGAGGCGAGATATTGTAACTTTTTACACTATTTACATCGTTCGGGCACTTGTACTCATCTTTATTGCCATATTAACAACGTTTCGGCCTTTATACGCTCTGGCCTGCTTCACGATCTGTCTATATTTCTGAGATGAGGTATTTTAACTATTTACACTATTTACATCGTTCGTACTGTTGTCCTCATCTTTATTGCCATATTAAAAACGTTTCGGCCTTTATACGCTGTGGCCTGTTTCAGGATCTGCCTACATTTCAAAGATGAGGTATTGTAACTATTTACATTATTCGGACTGTTGTCTTCAACTTTACCGCCGTATTCAAGACGTTTCGGCTGTTGTACACACGGCATTCTTCAGGATTTGTCTATATTTCTGAGATGAGATATTTTAATTATTTACACTATTTACATCGTTTGGGCAGTTTTCCTTTATTGCCATATTCACGACGTTTCGACCTTTATATGCTCCGGCCTTTTTTAAGTCGTATACACATGGCACAGTGGATAAAGGCGCTGGTGGAATAATCCAGAAAGTGATTTGGCATTTGAGTTGTGAGTTCAATACCTGACCTAGCAGAGGGAACAAAAACTTGTAGAGTTGAGATACTAAAGGGAATTAACTGAAACTGAGGTATCCAAAAAAGGCATGGCACGTGGAATTAGAACAAAGTGTTCGGTTTCGACATTCTGGCATATAATACCTGATGAAGATCGGAGCGTACAAAGGCGGAAACGTCGTGAATATGGCAACAGTCCAAACGCTGTAAATAGTCTGCCTTTTAAAGCAATAAAAATTACGGAAAAAAATATACAATAGTAGCGGTGTCAAAGGAAAATATCTCATTTTAAGATACCGTTTTCATTTTTGTTTTTTGGGGGTTTTTTTGTTTTGTTTTGTTTTTCTCGGCCACGTTCGATAAACTTTGTCAATTTTTTTCTTTTTCTTTCTCCGAACTGCAATGGCGGTTATCTTTTTTATCTGTCGTTTTTGTTTTCTCGCAGGTTAACGGCAAGGCAGATTGGGATCTCGATCATTGGCTCCTAAGCAATCTAGGACAGTTACCAGATCAACACGTCAAAACTTGGTTTGGGCTCCCATACGATCACCGAAGTTAAGCAATGTCTAACCTGGTCAGTACCTAATTGAGTGACAGCTTGTGAATAACAAGTGCTGCAACTTTGGATGTGCAGGTGGTGCAATGGATAATAGCTCAGAATTATTAATCGGGGAGCCGAGTTCCCATACAGTCACCAAAGTTGAGTAACGTTGAGCCTGATCAGCACCTAGAAGGGTGACCTCTTGGGAATATCAGGTGCTATAAACTTGGATGTGCGGTTGGTGTAATGGATAATGGCTCGGAATTATTAACCGGGGATCTGGGTTCCCGTACGATTACCGAAGTTAAGCAAAGTTGAGCCTGGTCAGTACCTAGATGACCAGTGGCTTAGCAATTCCTGGTGCTGTAAGGATGGATGTGCGGGTGGTGTAATGGATAATGGCACAGAATTATTAATCGGGGAACTAAGTTCCCGTACGATCACCGAAGTTAAGCAACGTCGAGCCTGATCAGTACCTAGATGGGTGACCGCTTGGAAATACCAGGTGCTGTAGGCTTGGATGCGTGGGTGGTGTAACGGATAATGGCTCGGAATTGTTAATCGGGGAGCTGGGTTCCCGTACGATCAAGGAAGTTAAGCAACGTCTAGTCTGGTCAGTATCTAGATGGGTGACCGCTTGGGAATACCAGGTGACGTACGCTTGGATGTACGGTTGGTGTAACGGATAATGGCTCGGAATTGTTAATCGAATAGTGTAGCGTTGGAGCTCAGACCAGACACCGCCTTCGCTGACAGGGTACGACTGGAAGAAGTCGTACCCGTGTTGCCTAAAATTAACCCTTCTGCCAGATCGTTACCTACGAATGAAAGGCATCACAATATCCAGCAGTAAACGTGATTGTATTCTCTGGTTGTAACCCACTGCTATAGTTGAACGAAGCCGATATGGGGCGTAGATAAGCCGGGGAACGTGAACAGTCTAACGGGGTTTTTTGTCTCCTATGGGCACTCGCAGCCTCTCTGTCTTTTCGCGGGCAGTAGCCACTGTTTTATAGAGAACACTGTTCTTTGTTTTGTCATCTTCGTCTGCAAAAGTAATTTATCTTCATTCCGTGGCGTCTTCTTTGTCCTGGTCGCTTGTCCTGTATTTTTGAAATCTACTGGCAGAATCCATTTTCGCGACAGTTCTACCTGTTTCTATTTCATAAGATATCAACTGACTGATATCGCTAACCCAGTTCCATTTCCCGTTGGATATCGTGCTATTCACTTACGCGCAAATACCTTTTGGGAAAGATATGAATCCACCGCTTCTCCATCTAGCTATGGGTTAATTAGTAAGACTTGCATCACTAAACCATTATTAACTCGTAAATATCACTTCTTTTATAACTTTTATTAAATTCTCTCGGCCGAAGAAGATTTTATAATCCAAATATATTTTCTTGCTTTAAATAAACTGCAAAGGGTTGATAAAACCCTAGAAAATGAATCAATCAATCGATGAAATACTAATAAGGTACAGAAGAACGTCTTTTATACATTCTCTGAACTATAAATGTATAGAAACTACTGTGGCCAGAAATGAGGGTCCAGTTTTTATATTGATTTTAATGCAGTATTGATCCCCCACTTTATATCAACAGTATAATTTCTTGTTTGTTTGTAAGCCATAAAAAAACGAATCTATCAATCAATGAAATACTGATTAGCTACAAAGGCATGTCTTTTAGATTTATTTACATTCTCTGGAATATAAATGTATAGAAACTACAACGGCTACAAAATGAGGGATCGGTTTATATATGGATTCTAATATAGAATTGATCCCCCACTTTATATCCACATTATAATTCCTAGTTTGTTAAGAAGCCGTAGAAAAAGAATCAATCAATCAATGAAATACTGATTAGCTACACAGACATGTCTTTTAGATTTATTTACATTCTCTAGAATATAAATGTATAGAAACTACCGATGGCCTCAAAGTGAGGGATAAGTTTATATATTGATTGTAATATAGAATTGATCCCCCACTTTATATTTACATTATAATTCATTTGTTGATAAGCCGTAGAAAACGAATTAATCAATCAATGAAATACTGATTAGCTACACGGGCATGTCTTTTAGATTTATTTAGATTCTCTGGAATAGAAATGTATAAAAACCACTGTGGCCTCAATTTGAGGGATAAGTTTATATATTGATTGTAATATAGAATTGATCCCCCACTTTATATGCACATTATTTCTTGGTTATTGATTAGCTGTAGAAAACGAATCAACCAATCAATGAAATACTGATTAGCTACACAGGCATGTCTTTTAGATTTATTTATATTCTCTGGAATAGAAATGTATAAAAACCACTGTGGCCTCAATTTGAGGGATAAGTTTATATATTGATTGTAATGTAGAATTAACCTCCCACTTTCTATCCACATTATAATTTATTTGCTGGTAGGTCATAGAAAACGAATCAATCACTCAAGGAAACACTGATTAGCTACACAGGCATGTCTTTTAGATTTATTTACATTCTCTAGACTATAAAGGTATAGAAACTGCTATGGCCAGAAAGTGAGGGTACGGTTTTTATATTGATTACAATGTAGAATTGACACCCTTTTTATATACGCATTATTTATTGTTTATCAAATTCTTATTAGGCGGGAATTACCTCTTCTCCCGCCGCCTCACATCTGAGTTAATTAACAAAACTTGTATCACTAAATCATTATTATCTCGACTATTTTTATGACTAATTTAATTGTGAAACCCGAAGAGGATCTGTAATTCACTAATGCTCACTTAATACAAGGTACAAGAGCCACTCAAGGTAGATCGTTACTGTGATGTGTTGTTGAGAGTAAGAAAAGGCAAGAAGTGAAGTTCCTCGGGTTATGCCGAAAAGGTAACAGTTAATAATAAATTAACATAAATAATATATAATAAATAAACATAATAAACATAATAACATAATAATAATAATTATTATTATATAAACATAATAATAATATAAATTATTATTATAATTTATTACAATTTATTATTATAATTTATTTACTATTATGATAATTTATTATTATAACTATATATTATATTATTATAAATTATTATTATTATTATTATGTAAACATAATAATAATAAACATAATAAATTAACGTAAAATAAATAAATTAAAGTAAAATAAATAAATTAACGTAAAATAAATAAATTGACGTAAGATAAATAAATTAACGTAAAATAAATAAATTGACGTAAGATAAATAAATTAACGTAAAATAAATAAATTGACGTAAGATAAATAAATTAACGTAAAATAAATAAATTAACGTAAAATAAATAAATTAACAATAAAGTTTGAAGAGGTCAAGATTATAGTAACAATCTTACAAATAAACAAAAATTGCAAACTTGCTTTTTTTTTCAATTTGCTAATGATGTAATAGGATTGTACTTATATATTTTAACGCATTTAACAGTTTATAGCTATACCATAACATACAAACTTACAAATAAACAGAAACAAGTTCTAGAATGATCGATAAAGTTCTAGAAATCTCCAAAAATCCATAGTACTTAACACTTGCGTAAATTAATTGAGACAACCGTTTAGTTTCACTTCTTTCACCATACAGTCAGTTTTAGACTTACTGGACTGACAGGGTGTAATCGATTTCTATTTTATCCTCAAATTAGGCCATTTACAGTGATGTGCAGAAATATGAATCTATTTTCGGGGGTGTATGATGAAATTTGTTTGGCTCTGAAAAATATTGCGTCATCCGTGATTGCATCAGACTTTTATCACGCCAAGACACTATTGTCTTGACTGTCGATTAGTTGTCCTACGACCATTTTCCTCGATGTACTTTACTCCGAGGAAATGCAGGAAAATTGTAACGCTTCACAAACACACTGGCATGCCTTACCAGTTAGCAAATCAAAGTACTGTAGACTGACCCGGAAACCCTCCTGATTTAAATCTGTGGTCAATCTACAAGTAAAGACGAAGTACTAACATATACACTGGGTCATGTTTCATTGGAAAAAATACGAAAAAAGTAAATAATAACGGAATTATTCATTTTGTTTCAATTAAATTGTACATATATATATATATATATATATATATATATATATATATATATATATATATATATATTTCATTGAATACGACAGACAAAGGTGCTTTTATTTAGTTTTTTATACAATTTCTCATGCGATCCAATTTTTTTTTTCTTTTCGGATGATAAATTATATAAAATCTGTCCGAATGTTCTTTTTATCCGAGCGCTTTCGGTTATGCAATTAGACATTTTCAAGGGTTAAATATTTTCACTGTATTTATATAATTTACCATCCGTAAAGAAAAAAATATATTAGGTCGTATGAAAATTGAATAAAAAAACAAATAAAAGCACCTTGTCTGTCGTATTCATTGAATTGTACATGAAAGAAGGATTGCTGCCTAATACACACACACACACACACACACACACACACACATATATATATATATATATATATATATATATATATATATATATATTCCACAAAGTTCTAGAAGGCTCCAGAAAATCATAGTGCTTCTATATTCATATATAATTTTGAAGATTTTACGTTTGGAGTGACATTTTTCAAAAATATAAACGGAATTAAACCCGTCTTCATTAATTTTCAGCAAAAGCTCATCGAATTATGATACAGAAAATCAATTATTCTACAAAAGATCAAAAAGTTATAACCCTACTAAGTATATACCTTAAAAATGGGGGGGGCAGTTAGAGAAGATTTTTGTATATATAAAAATGTGTGCCTTGGTATAATATCATTACTGGTGGCAGTGTGCACTGCATGTGATTTATTTTTAATTTATTCATTTGGAAATTAAAAAAAATATAGTATATTTCTTCTGTAAAGAAAAAAATATGGATAATGTTTACATGTATGGGCTACCTTAATGAAAATCACCAATGTTTTAAAATGATGAAAACGTCATTCTCACCAAAAGTTCGGTAAGAATTAAGAAACATTGTACTTACTTATATATGGTTTTGTATGTATGTGTGAGTGAAGAAGTGAGAAGGAAACAAGGCATAAACTTTTCAAGAAACATTATTTTCCTCATGAAATTATGTTTCATTCAGAATGACGGCGGGATTCAGTTTTCCTGGTCTACCATCTGGAGAACTTATTCGAGGAGATTTTCAGACTATTAATTCTTTATTTTATTTTAATGACTTTATTATGATTCTCGATTCTAGAAATCTTGATCTAAAAATTTCATCACTATAAGAACAACCTTTCCACAAAAAGCAGGTGGCAGTAGCAGTAGTAAAAACAACAACACAGACGTATCTTCTTCGCTCCGTGAAAATCCAGAGTTGACGGTTTCAAAAGCTTCCCTTAATCACAAAATTCTCAGAATAATTATAAACAAGTAAGCCCAAATTTTAAAGAAACCAAAAGAGAAAATGACCCTGAGAACATTTAACACACACAAAACCAATATTGTAAATACTATTTACTCCTGCCTCAAAAACAA